CACTGTGACATCCTCCTGCTCCATACCCTTTCCCAGAGGAATCAACAGGCTCAGGAGAGAGTGAGGTTAAACGGAGAAAGATCTGAACAGGAGCTCAGTGGGCACAGGGAGTTGCTGCATCCCCTGTTAAATATCTCCTGCTTCCATTGCATCAGCATAAAGCTGAATTTTTCTGCTGAGTTGTTACCAGATATTCGAGCTGTTATCTTGAAATGGAAATTCTGACATTGGTGTATGAGATCTAATACTTTGAGATTAATGATTACACCTTCCTGGGGCTTAGTCTGATCACCTAGGAGATGTGGAGATTAGTTTTTAGGAGCATTGCAGTACTAGGTTTCTTAGGGATGGGTAATCCTGGGGATATTCAAGGAGAGGTAGTTATTTATGTGAGAGACCTCTCATACACAGAATTCGTTGTGGGGTTAGTTTTTTCTTGCCAGTTTAAAAGTACAATAAACTGACCAAATCAGCTATAGTGTTATCAAAACTTCCTTCTTTTAAGGTTTTTTTTTGTGTTGATGGGAGAGGGAAGCTGCAGGAATACCATTGCAACAGAAGGTAAGTGACTATACAGCCAAACTGGCACAGAACATCTCTACTTCCTCTACATTTATTCAGTGTTTTATCCCCCCACTAATCTTTTTACCTCTTCACAATCTCCTGTCTTGATCTAAAAGCTTTTTCTTGCCCTTTGAATCTGAGACACCTTTCCTGCCTCTCTGTGTCTTTCATGGACTTACCCTTGAAACCATATTTCTTTGCAAGCTTTCACTTCCTCACCTCTCCCTTTCTGGAATAACTCTGAATTTATATCTATTGTTAAACTCTAGGCAAGATTTTTGGATACAGCTTGGAGGAATGACACCACACAACATCAACCATGATGGACAACAGATAAACCCTTTCTCACACAGAGGCTCCAGTGAGATTATGACAAAGAAATCTCCAGACTAGAGAAACAAATCTCAGTTATCTCCAGAAATAACAGATGTAGTCAACATTTGCCTCATTTCTGGACAACCTATGCTAGAAAAATGTGGCTGCCTCCATCCCCTCCAGCTGACACGAGATATCTGTCACCACCATCTGAGTGGGTTAGGTAAGACAACTCCTGATCTCACTGCTGGGGGGAGCAGGATATGACTCCAACACACCTTGTTTGTGACTGGATTACCTTACACATGTGCACCAATGCTGTGCACAATGGAAATTCAGCCAGAATTTGGAGGCAAAGTGGGTGAGGAAAGAAAAACACACATTAGCATGTGTTTGTTTGATAGCCTCAGTGAGTTCACAGATCCATATAACAATATCTTGGCTTAGTAACATCATGTTAAGCAAGAAGATTTCTCCTCGTGGCTTCACTGGAAGCCAAGATGAGTGGAAGCCAATGCAAGTTGGTAGTTACTCCAGGTGAGCACTTCCCACTTGAAACTACAGGAAAATCCACTGCTTCATGGTGGACCAAGATTTTATCCCAGAACAACAAGGTGAACTGAGCTGTTGCTAATCTATACTGCAGAATCTTTTAACTCCCCTTGGAACATGTCATTCTCTTGGCAATGCAAATTGCTCTCTGTAGGATACACAGTAATTCTGTGAAATGTGTGCAAATTACACATTTCTGATGTGGAAAAACATCTGCCTCTGAGTGAGTCACACTGGTGTGCATGGCAGCCTGGCTTTATAACCCAGGGCCCTAACAGGGCTCATTTCAGCTCTTAGTTACCACTTCAATCTGTATTGCTGGACTTCTCTCCTTGAAGGAATGTCCAGCTCTGTTTCTATCCCAACAGCCTCAGAAGTGAGGGAGGGAAGGAAGGGAAAACCAGCTGTATGTCTCTCAGGGCAGTCAGATTCACTAGGAATCCTTGCAGGTAACAGTCACATCTGCTCAGTTTCTTTGCATCATTTGTGCTGAAGCTCAGTTTGCACTTTGCATCTTTCCAAAAGATGCTCAAAATGACCCCATAGTGCTGTGGATTCATTGCTGTTGTGGCAATGTGAGCAAAGAGGAGCAAGGTGCATCTTTCCCATTGATTTATAAAAAGCCTTGAGAGGCAGTTCCAGGTCTAACCTGTGCTTCTGTTTCTACATTAGCCTCTACATATGGCCAAGCAGAAAAATAACTCTCCATCTATTTAATGCTCTGAGGAATCACTCGTTGCATCAGTGACACTAAGTCTTATGAAAACTCAAAGTTTCAGTGTGCTGAACTCTTTCATTTCTACATTTCAGGTTTCAGTGAAGGCAGCATAGCAAATTTAGGTCAAGATTTAACTAAAAGCAAGAAGAAAAAAATGCCACCTGTAGTTTTCCTGTGCCTTAACTAGTCAATAAGTGATTTCTAACACAAGGTGCTTATCTTGTGACCACTATGGTTGTTCCCACCCACCCTTGATTTTGTCTTTGCAGGGATGTCCCAATTGCTCTGAAGCAGCAGCTGAACCACCATCAGGGCAGGCAGGTTGCTCTGGTAAACCAGCACCACCTCCACTTTTCCCTAGTAAACACAATGCCATTTGTAGGTGGTTCAGTACCTGCTACAGGAGAAGTTGAGTCATCCCTGCAGCCAAGGCATCAACCCCAACCCCAGGGGTGTGGGAACAATTAGAGCTGTCCCATTAGCAAACCAGACCTGCCTGTGAATCAGTACCCTGAGGCTCAAATTTTCCTGCCTTTGCCCAAATTCTGCTGCAAACAGCAGCAAAGTTTTGCCTTAGCCCTGCAAGCTGATGGGGAAGCTGCACTTGATCCAAGCACAAATCCCCCATGGCTTCCAGTCTGCAGGGTGAGTGCTTAAATCAGCTGGGAAATGGCTAAAAAGATGATGAAGTTAACATACAAGGCCCTTAAAAAACCCTCCAAGTGACTGTCTCTTCTCTGTCTTCTTGTAGGAGTGTTCCTTGGAAGTGTCTCCTCCGTTCTGGATGGAGTCAGTGTCGGTTCCTTGCTGCTCCCTGGAGTCTGGCTGCTCCCTGCTCTCCTGTTTGCTGCCTTTCTGCTTGCTCAGCTCCACTGGGGCCTTCTTGTCTTTTGAACTCTCTTTGCTCTTGTGGCCCACAGGTTCTCCTTCAGCTGGGGCAACTGGTCTCTCCGTGGCGTTTAGCGTCTGAAGCAGGTTCAAACAATGGTTATTTTTAGTGAGGAATGTCAACGGTTTTGGAAGGAGATCCATCAATACATTCAAAAATGAAAGGCCACCTGGCAGGGAGAAGTCCTGCTGGCCAACAGGTTTTCATTTACAGAGCTTGGGATGAACTCCTGCAGCCTTGGCTCAGGGAAGGACTCCCAGGGAGCTGCTAGAATTACTCACACGAGCAAAGGCTGCAAGATCAAACCATCCCTGCACAGATCTGCTTTATTTATGGCTGTGTCTCTGCTGAAGGTGGTTTGGGAGGCAGAGAACATGCATGGAGACAGGCAGAGTCACAACCATGCACTGCCCACAGACTCCTTCAGTTTTTGCATCCCAGCCCGTGAAAGCACCCAAAAAGTGCAAGGAGGAAAATTTGGGAGAGAAAAAGAAGCAAAAGATACCATAAAGTTAAGGATAAAACCAAATCAGCTATAAAACCACAACACTCCACGCAAAAATTAACAGCACAGAGTTTGGTTGTGGAAGGTTACAGCATAATAGAAAATATCATGTGCAAGTGCAAAAGAAGAGGCAGCAAATATTCCAAAGAAAAACAGTGACAGAGCATCTATTTATAGCAAAGGAAAATATTCTGGAACTCAGAGAAGTGTGGGATATGTTTGAAGTTCACAGGAGAAAAATCATATCTGGCAACCAGAGCAGGAGACAATGCAACTGTCACTGTTTGGAGGGTAGAAAGTGATGATGTTTTTGCCTGGAGTAATGGGGAGAAATTGGAAGAGGGAAATTTGGGTTAGATTTTAGGAAGAAGTTTTTCCCTGTGAGGGTGGTGAGACACTGGCACAGGTTGCCCAGGGAGGCTGTGGCTGCCCCAGCCCTGGCAGTGTTCACAGCCAGGTTGGATGAGCCTTGAGCAACCTGATCTCCCCAGGGCAGGGGGTTGGAGCTGGATGATCTCTAAGATCCATTCCAACTCCTTAACAATCTATGATTCTATGAAAGGCAAATTTAACCTTGTCTCTTTCCATCTGACTCAGTTTAACTCTCAGTCTGGGAGCTCTCAGCTCCTGCTCTGTTGGTTAGTTAACAAGATCCTTCTTACTTTTATTTGTCTGAGCTCATTTTTGAAATGCTGCTCTGGTGCAATTGCAAACGTGTACATTTAATTCACAAACCACCACAGCACCCAAAATACAGCTCTGAGACTTAACATATCCGAGTTCAAAGGTACCAGAAGAACTTCTAACCCTCATTAACACACTGTGAAATCTGTGGGTTTGCTCCGTGGGTGTAAAATTAGTGTCTTCCTCACCACACACACTTGGTTGTGTAGGTGCCTCATATCCAGCATTGCAGCCAGACCTGAGCAGGATACACCAGGACTATTCCTGTGAGCAGGTTGGGCCTTTGATGTTAGTCAAACAAAACACTTCTAAAACATATTCATAATACATTTTCCAGGCAAAATAAGAGGGGGGGAAAAATCCTATCAGATAATCTCTTTGAGGTGTTTCATATTAACCTTGAAAGGCAGGAAATTGGCATATTTTATATTGATGGGAGCAGCTCAGGAAATACAACGTGAAGGCTATGAATAATGAAACATGTTAATGTTTCTTATTCTAGAGGGGGAGCTGCACCTGCCAGACTGCTTTTCCTCTCTCAACACCAACAGTGCCACTGAAATAAAGAGGAAAAAAAAGAGGAACAGGATAGAATTTTCCCCATCACATCACAGCAGACCTTAATCCCAAGCTGCTTTTTAAGGGCAAAAAGGCAGAGGCCAAAATATCTGCAGGTTTTGGATCAGTGCTGAAATCATCTCTGCAGCATTCAGGATGGCAGTTATGAGAAGTGGAGAAGGATCACAACATTCCAGAGCTATGAGAGCATCATTTAAGGAGATCCTTTCACAGAAATCCCAAAAAAGGAAAAAGTCAACAGCAGATCCAGTTTGCCTTGAGCTCTTCTTGCAATAAAACTTACACCAGGGCAAGGGAGAGAAGACTAATAAGTTGATGTACAAAGATGGGAGGAAAGTGGCTGCTAATTAAGAGAATAAAAGTAGATCCAGGATTGTAACTTTTAGTGATTTACCCAAATCACTTCACAAACCTCTTGTGTGAAATAAGGAACAAATGTCACAAGACCTTCGATATTTGGGGTGAATAAAGCTGAACCTTGGTGTACTAGGACACTGTGAAAACATGAAATAAGGAACAAATGTCACAAGACCTTCAATATTTGGGGTGAATAAAGATGAACCTTGGTGTGCTAGGACACTGTGAAAACACGCAGAGTGAGAAAATTACCCTTAATTCCAAAAGGCTGTTTTGAAAAGTCAATTTTCAGTACAACTTCAGTTTTGCTCTTAGAGGAAATCCTCTGTCAATGCACAGAATGTGTGTTTTAGCTCTCATTACTGAATGTAATTCCCTGGGTATCTTGACTTACAACAGGTGAGGGTTTGGCTCTCACCCAAGGTAACAGTATTTGTAGTCCTAATGAAAATGTGATTTTGCTGAAGCCTTTGAGAGCCATGAAGGATATAATGTAAATGTCACACCCCAAGTTTTGCTTTAGCTTTTATGAGCAAAGAATGAAAGAAACAAAAAGAGAATAAGAAAAGAGATTTTCATGGCTGTTGTTAAATTGCAGTGCAGAGTTTTCTTTCTCACTTTCAGTTCTCTTTTATAGAGTTTCCACTTAAATGATCCTTTCCTCAGAAGAGAAATAAATCAAGAGAGTAAAAATGATTCTAGCTAGTCTGATTTAGTTTCACTGCCTAAGCCAAAGTATATGCAGAGTGTAAAAGAGAGATAGGAATCAAACTGTTATAAGAACAGGAACACACCTGCAGAAAAGCTTTTTTTCTTGATAGTGATCCTTTAAAATCTTGTGTAATAGTATGAACAGGTAAAGTAAATAGATAAGTGAAGAAATCTGCAAAGATGTGAAGCTCAGAGACCATGTAGCACTTGTCATTCAGTGATTTTCTGTTTCAAAAGGGAGTATGGAAAGTGGCAAGAACCCATCACCAGCAGATGAGGAAAGAACCCATCACCAGCAGATGGGAAAGTCCAGGCACTTACGTGGTGAGTGGGGCTGGAGCCATTTACCTCTGCTGCCCTGGTTGTCTCTCCATCACCTTTCATTGACTACAATAACAAAGAGTTACAGGAGTTCTCCCAGGGTTCCTGCTTGAGGCATTCATTCAAATAAGACAACACACATGAATTGAGGTTTGATTTCAGGCCACTCTTGGCAACACTAAACCAAACCCAGACACTTCAGAAACTCACAGAATGATCAGAGTTGGAAGGGACCCTTGAGGATCATCTAGTCCAACTCCTGTCCAACAGGACATCCCTGAGGATCACACCCTGTGCCTGAGAGCATTGGCCAAACACTCTTTGAGCTCTGTCAGCCTTGGGGCTGTGCCCACTGCCCTAGGAGCTGTTCCAGCATCCAAACACCTCTGGGGGAAGAATCTTGTCCTAACATCCAACCTAAACCTCCCCTGACACAACATCAGACCATTCCCTGGGTTCTACCCCTGACTGTCAGAGAGAAGAGGTCAGAGCTGCCCCTGCACTTCCTTCCATGAGGAAGTTGCATCCAGTGATGAGGTTTCCCCTCCCCCAGTTTCCTCTTGTCCAGGCTGAACAGCCCAAGTAACCTCATCTGCTCCTCCTATGGCTTCCCCTCAAGGCCCTTCACCCTCTTTATTGCCTCCTTTGGATACTCTCTAAGAGCTTAATATCTTTCTTATATTGTGGTGCTCCAAAGTGCACACAACATTCAAGGTGAGGCTGGACCAACTCCACCAATTGCTCTGAAATCCTCACAGCTCCAGGACAAATTTTTGCTGGTTTTTTTTTTTTTTGGCCATGTGATTCTCTCTTGCAAGTCAATTTTCCCAGTAAGGCCTGAGACACATGGATGAGGTCTCGGAGGACCAGAGATCATATCAGCCACTAACCAAGACAATGCTATCAGTGTAGTTCTGAGGAGAGATTTTGCTTGCTTTTCAGAGCCAAATCTCTTACATGATCTAGTGGGACTTCCTCTCTATTTAACCATCCCACTAAATGCATGTCCTGTGAATAATTAAAACCCACTCAGCTTTATAAGCATATTTATATATTTTATCATCAGCATCCATTATTTTTCCCCAATTTTTGCTTTCCAGTTTATGCTTTCAGTCTATGAACATCTAAAGGATGGTCCTCCTTGGTGCCTGCTCTTCCCAGCCTGGACAATCCAAGCAGACCCTGAGGCTGTAGCACTGGAAGGTCACTCAGAGCAAACCTTGACTCTGCTGTAGCTTTTTAAGGTACAATCCCCTGTTTTCATTTAGATTTAACAGTGGGAAAACCCTATTATTACAAGCTTTGTGACAATTAGAGGAAGGTTCAGCTACAATTAGTCACAACAGGAATCGTGTGTACATTTGTAATTAAGAATGTGTTAGAGGGTTCAACGTGGTTTTTCTCCTGAGCACAATCTGAGCCACAGAACTGAGCAGCAAAGTGCCAAATAAACTCCAGAATTTCAAAGTGCCCAAATTTAAATGTCATTTCACATTGCATAAGTTCAATGAAAACAATGAAAGGATGTGACTTTTGTTCTAAAGATAGATCAGGCAGAGTTGTGGTTTTCTGCAGCTTGTACACTTGTAACTTGAAGCACAACAGAACATCAGCTCAATCCTATGTACAGGAGCAGCAAAGTGCCAAATAAACTCCAGAATTTCAAAGTGCCCAAATTTAAATGTCATTTCACATTGCATAAGTTCAATGAAAACAATGAAAGGATGTGACTTTTGTTCTAAAGATAGATCAGGCAGAGTTGTGGTTTTCTGCAGCTTGTACACTTGTAACTTGAAGCACAACAGAACATCAGCTCAATCCTATGTACAGTGTTATTAAGTACACTTGTAACTTGAAGCACAACAGAGTATCAGCTCAATCCTATATACAATGTTATTACAAGGACCTAGTTCAGCCTCTGATTTTCCTAAGAAACCACAGAAAATCGATCTGTAGCAGCAGCATGACAGAAACCCAAACCACTCCATGACAATTCATTACTTGCCACAAATGGTGGGACAAATTCTCCCTCTGGAACTGCTCAGCCTCTTGCCTGTCTGTGCTCGTGGGGCTTTATCTGTGCAAGAGGTTGCAGCAAAGGAGGGGAGGAAGCACAGTGTGGTCTGCCTTAACACTGCAGGAGACAAACCCAGTCCAGAGCATACCAAGATGTGTTGTGATAAGATCTAGTTCGGGTATCTATTTCAGCAAGTCCTTAAACGCCTTCAGAAATAAGAGTTTGTGCTAAAACAGTGTGATCAGTGTTACTTTCTTCCCCCCTATAAACACTTCAAAAACACAGAAAAAAAACAACCCTGCTTTAACTCTGATAATCCATCTTTCTTTTTATTTTTTGAACTAAAAATAGCAGAGTAAAGATCTTGAGGTCTAGACAAAGTTCCCTCTTGCTGCCAGCAAGATGTGTATGCAGTGATCCCAAGGATTTCTCTCTAGAGCACTGCTGACCTCCTCTCCTTGCCTTTGCTCAGTTAGGATTGCTGCTGCTGCCTAAAGCTTCCCAAAAGTTTTTCTGCCCCAATAAATGTGGATTGACACATCTTTGAAGGGAAGAGGGTGAGGACAGGCTATCTTTACTATATTTTCATGAATTATGAAGGAAAGTTAAGTTGGGCCAACACAATATTTTTATTCTGTTTGGAAATTGATAGCCAAAAGCAGAGCAGATTAACACCGAAGGTTTCAAAAAGCTGCAAAACCAGTTACAGAGTTAATAAAACTCCGTTTCCCATGTGGGTAGATGTTTGTCTACTGGTTGTGTATTTTGAGGCTGAAATCTGGCTGAAATCCCTGTTATGATGAGGGCAGTGTTACATCTACTTCTAACACAGCTTTGTTTTCTTCCATGGTGACTAAGATGGGTGTGGAGCAGCTTTAGTTTTTTAATGGGTGCCTTTTTTTGGTAGGGTGACATGATTTGAAGTCAGGATCACCACAGACATTAGTGCTGTTCCCAAATCCCTTTCTGCATGCTTAGCATGTGCCATGATGACAGAACTATATTCAAGATGACAACAAGTCCCCTCAGATTTAGGAATGAGGTTGATGTTTTTCCAAACTGACTGATTTTAGGAACTCTTATGTGGACTCTTTGTTAGGAACTGCAATGATAGGACAAAGGGTTCAAACTGAAGGAGGAAAAGTCTGGGTTAGATGTGAGAAAAAAGTTTTTTACTATAAAGGTGGTGAGACATTGGAAGAGGTTGCCCAGGGACGTGGTGGTTGCCCTGACCCTGGTGGTGTTCAAGGCCAGGTTGGATGAGCCTTGAGAAACCTGATCTAGTGAGGCTCCAGGGCAGGGGGGTGGGTCTAGATGATCTGTAAGATCCATTCCAACTCCTAAATTCTATAATTCTCTGACAGAAGTAGGTTGGGTGCACAATCACTGGCTGAGATGAGGAATGTTTGACTCCTCAAATACACCACAGTGGCCATGGAATAAAGTAACTCCAAAGAACAAAGGTAAATACACCCATCCCAGTCTGAGCTGAGGCTAATGAACACCTGAAAAGAAAAACTAATCTTTAGGAAGTAAAAACTAAAGCAGGGTTTGTTTTGTGGTTTGTACCTCCTATGGTCTGACTCATGAGTTTTAGCCTTTGCCACTGACTGCTCACAGGTATGTCCCAGCACTTCCCTGGGCTGGTCCTTACAGCAGCTGATGAGAAACTACATAGTTCACATTTGAATGTTTAAGCCACTCTGATCCCCAGCACCATGAAACTGCCTGGAAATAAACCAGCCATGATTATAAATAGAACTCGTCCCTACACATTGTAAACTTTGCCAAAATAGATTCATTGCTATATAAATCCTCAAGGCCTGCTATAATTTTAATCAGAAGTGTTATTTCTAGACTTGGGGGATTTTCTTTCCTGGCCACTTTTCTAGACTCTTTTGAGGAATCCTGTCTGGCTGTTTGTAGACAAACTCATCAGGAGAATTTCACACCTCCAGCCACAAGATGATATCAACCACTTGATCACCTCAGTGGTTTCCTTCTTCCCTCCAGTCTTCTGGGAAAGTGGATTAAACTACTTTATACCTTATTTTCCCTATCTATTGGACTCTGCAGCAGCAATTGCATCCTTGTGCATGCCAGTTCAGCTAACCTACAGCACCTGCCAAAACCAGTTGTGCACTAAAAATACAACACTTTGAAGCAAGTGCAGAACTCAAGGTGATACAGCATTTGATGTGACCAGCGGGAGGTGGGCTGGGAGATGGATTCCTCCAGGAGCATCTCCCCAAGGGAAGGGGTTTGTGGAGCTGAGGTTTCCTCGGTGGCTCAACCCCTGGAGCTCCCTGGGCCACCTGGGAGTGGGAAAGGGCGAGCAGAGCTGCTCGGCAGCCGCGAAGGTTCCTGGAGGAGCCGCGAGAGGGAGATGCAGGATGAGGAATGGGACGTGGGGGGTCAGCGACAGAGCATCCTCTGCAGCAGCATCCCTGCGCCCTCCAAAGAGCATCCCAACAATCCTCCCCAGGATCGCTTCCCTCTGCACTCCCGGGGAGAAGAGCTTCGCTTACCAGCTTGAAAAACTTCCTCAGGTTTGCCTTGGGGGTTTTGCTTTCTGCTCCTTTGGGTTTCACTTCTGTGGCTTTTTGGCTCATCTCTGTCGGGAGCCACAGCCTCGAAAGCCACTTCAGCTTTTTCACTGCTTACAGCCTCAGCTTCTTCCGAGGAGTTCTGAGGTTAGGAAATGTTAAGAAAGGGGACAAAACATTCAGACTTAGTGAGGATTTGGTCTTAAGGAGGTTACAAAGTGCTGGAGTAGTGCAGGGAGTTGGTACATCAGGAGCAAACGGGGCACGAAAGCATCTTTGGCTTCACTGATCTCTGCATGTTGCTTCAGGAATTTGATTCATCCCAATTCCAAACAGCAAACAAGTGTACAAATCCCACCAGATTATAGAAATTGAAGAAGCCACTGGAATATAGCCCAGGGAGGTGGTGGAGTCACCATCCCTGGAGATGTTTAAGAGGCATCTGGACCTGACACTGGAGGATCTGGTTTAGGGGTTACAGAAGTGACAGGTTAATAGTTGGACTTGATGATCTTAAAAGTCTCTTACAACCTTGATGATAGAAATAGCCTTTCTTGAGTTGCAGCACCAGTTCTCAAAGACAAGTATTTAGCTTTGATTTCAATTTAAAAGATACTTGAAATGAAATTACAGCAAAACATGTCCCGAGTAGATAACACTCAGGTAAACCCAGTAAAGATGAGCAAGATCATACCCAGGAATGTGCACACAAAAGCAGAAATAAGATTAATTAAAACAGATAATGGCCATTATTAATCATTAAAACTGTACAACATCCTTGTTAGGGAAGTACAGGAGTGCAGCATCCCAGCCCAGCATTCTCAGGCTGGTCACATCCTCCCCACCAGCTCCTCTCCCCTGGTGCACAGATATAAATGACTTCTCGAGGTACAAGGTAGTTAAGTAGCTCATCTATTACTTCACCTAATTCCATGGGTCACACTCACCCTCTTTGATAGTGCTGACCCTGATTGCAGTTCAAGAAAAGCTCTGGGTACTCAGCAACGTGGCCTTTAGAGAAGGATTTTGGGTCCCACTGAGCTTTTGTGAGCTACTGGAAAGTTCCTTCTATTATAACAGTTCTTCAAGCAGAGGCATGGGGTTTGGAAATTCCTCTGCGATATGGATCCCCAGAAGATTTATTGATTCATCTCCTGCATGTCTCATTCCACAGCCTTCTCAAGGCTATCCTGGGAACACTCTGTTTAACTGAGCCAGACCTGTGCAGAGCAGGATACAGGAGCAGGAGGTCCATTACTGCTGTGGGAGGTGGAAGCACAGGCTGAAAATGCATTTTTAACTGGCTATTCTGCCTTTTATAATTGTCCTGGTAAATAACATTCATCTGTGCTCTCAGGATCACTAATTAATTCCCATCTCACTGTAACTATATAAAGAAATATCTTCCTTTCTGCCAGAAAAAAACCCCTAATATTATGCTAATAAGCAGGTAATTTCACCTGGAGCAAACTATCACAGAATGGTTTGGGTTGGAAGAGACCTTCATCTATTTCCAACCCTCTGCCATGGGTAGGGACACTTTCCACTGACTCAGGTTGCTCCAAGCCCCATCCAACCTGGCCTGGAACACTCCCAGGGATGGAGCAGCCACAGTTGCTTTGGGTAACCTGTGCCAGTGCCTCAGCACCTCACAGGGAAGAATTTCTTCCCCATATCCCATCTATCCCTCCTCTCTGCCAGTGTGAAACCATTCCCCCTTGTCCTGTCACTCCAGGCCCTTGTCATTAATCTCTCTCCATCTTTCTTGGTGGTCTCTTCAGGCACTGGGAGGCCACAATCAGGTCATCCCAGAGGATCTTAGGCTTCCTATTAAAAATCATACAGATTTACTCTAATTATCTCCAGAAATCATTCCTGTATACCACACCTCCCTCAGCAAGGCTGAAATAACTGATGCTGAAGATTTTCTCTGATGATTTTGGGATCTTACAGACATCTATAAAGGCCTGGTCCAACCTCCTGCTCAAATCTGCCAAGGAACTTGTGTTGAGCTCTTGATAGCTCCAAGGCTGGAGGTTCCATAACTTCTCTGCAATCAAGTCAAGGTGTTGAGACATGCTGGGCCAAAAGGAAACTTTAGAGACATAACAAAATCCTCTTCTCCAATCCAGCTGACCACATGCCCATGGTATATGACACCCTTGGGTGAGGCAGAGAACACTGTGTAAGTCAGTGGGAAAACCCCTTCCAGCAAAGGTTTTCTGATATACTTTTAAGAACAGAGTCTTTCATTTTTGCTCCTGTTCCCCCTAAAAAACTAGAAGAAAAATTTCCATCTGAGCATTCAAGGAAATCACCAAGGTGTCTCTGGCAGGAATGGAAAGTGAAATAGGACAAGATGAATTCAATAAATTTTGAGTGACATTACATTAACCTAAACTGTCCTCTAGAGCAGAGGGCTCAGTTCTTTACTTCACCTAGGAGAAACCCAACAGTTATAGCAAGTCTCATGACTAATTTGAGGAAGAACTTGGTATATAACAATAATTTGCAAACAGCTCAGCTCTTGCAGCTTCAATAAATGTTCTCATAACAGTAAGTTATACCTATAAATTGCCTCAGCTGAGGTTGCTGCATTTATAGGTCCAAATTCTGCCTCCAGTTTCCTTCAACACAAACTGTAACACATTCAGCCTGAGGCAGCAGCTATTGCAGTTATGCACCACAGAGACAGAAGTACTGCTGGGTTATTTTATTCTTCTGTTTTAAAGGCCAAATTTAGAAACCATTTCGAGCTACATTTGTTTGAAGTAAGATGAGCTCCATCCCTTGTTCTTCCTGTCACACAACAACTTTGCTTTCTTTTTCAAAATAGCATTTGAATTTCTCTTTGCTTATTGTGTTCTGTAAGAATCTTTTACTAGGCTCTTTCTTTCCCTGTGTTTGGAAAGGTTTCACATTCTCTTAAATGAGTGTCCCTTCATTTTCTTTTAGCAATAAGCTTATTATAACAGTTGTGGTGGAAGGTTTGTGTCTACTCTAAGATATCTTCTGGTTCTTACAGACACTCTGATTGGGGAAACTATTACTACACCATTTTCTTATCTAGGTTCCTGCCCATACAAATTGTGGCCTTGTGAGACTGTAACTTATTTTATGACCTGGATAACTTGGATAAGAGTTTTCCTTCTGCTTGCTGCATCTTTCCTCTCAATGGAGATAAACACTACACCCTGCTTTGATCTCCTGCTGGAGTCTGAACTGGCACTCTCACTGCATTTCATTAGACACAAGGAACAGTTCTTCTTTCCCTGGCTCATCCCTTCCTTATGAAGCAGCTTTTCTTTTCAACAATATAGGCAAGATGACCTTTTGCTGAAGAGATTTCCATTTAAAAGAGTAGTTGTGCTTGAGAGCTGTTCCTGCTGCTCACAGACACCCAGGCAGGAAGCAGAGAGGGTTAGAGAGACACTAACCCACCTTCCTGTGCCAAGGCAAAGACAACAGAGGTTGCTGCAGTTAAGGCAGCTCAGCTTTGGCCATCACTGTGCTCTCACACCTCCACCCCAAAGCCTCCTGTGACCTGAAAGTGCCACTCAGCAGACCTTGAGCTGTAAGAGCTCAGACTATGAACCACTGTGAGCTTAGAGTTCCACCACACAAGTCTGACCAGCCCAAAGGGAGGTCTGACCACACTGGGTTGGGGAGGGAAGGTCCTGAAATGACCCTCAAAGCCATTGCTTACTGCTTTCCTCACTCCTTCAGCCATGGGGAATTCTCTTTTGAGTTCCTTCATCCAGCAAAAAACATTCAGGATTTTCCTCCCTCCTGCCTGATAGATGTTGTGCATTTCAGGATGGAAACAGGTAAACTACTGCAGGAACTTGGCAAATCCTGGATAATTTTAATGTTTATCTCACGTGCTCCACCCAAATATTTATCTTGGCTTTCCTGTGGCAGAGGATGGTGGTAGGCTTAGCAATAAAAGGTGATACTGGACGTGGAACTGCTGGAGCAAGTCCAGAAGAGGCCATGAAGTTGCTTAGGAGACACATCTGAATGATAGACATGCTGAGAAAGTTGGGGCTGTTCAGCCTGGAGAAGAGAAGGTTGTGTAGAGACCTCAGGAGAGGGTTCCAGTGTCTGAAGGGGCTACAGGGAAACCAGAGAGGGACTCTTCATCAGTAACTGGAGAGACAGGACAGGGGGAAATGGATTCAAACTGAAAGAGGAGAATTTAGGTTGGATATATGGAGGAAATTGTTCCCTGTGAGGTGCTGAGGCTCTGGCACAGGTTGCCCAGAGCAGCTGTGGCTGCTCCATCCCTGGGAGGGCGCCAGATCAGGTTGGATGGGGCTTGGAGCAACCTGGGCTGGTGGAAGGTGTCCCTGCCCATGGCAGGGGGTGGAATGAGAGGTTCTCTAAGATCCCTTCAACCCAAACCACCCTCTGGTCCTATATTCTGCTTCACCTCAGAGCTAACCATTTTACTGCTTGTACTGTCAGCACATAAATGCCCCTCAGTAAAAAAGGGCAAATTTTTCTGCAGATGTCATCTGGCAACAGAGTCACAACAGCTTAACATTCTCGTTTTTAAAGAAAATATATCTGCTTTTTGAGCTGGTTCACAGACAGCCTGAATAATGCTGCCTTGATCACCTTCCACCATTTCTCCTGGCCTGCTTTGATCAGATCAAAATGAAGCATCATGTTTCTCTGCCCTGATCAGATATCCCCAAGGCCTTGAAACCAGCTTTCCAACACAAATATTGCAAATTACTCACTGGAATTTTCTCTTAGTATTCCTTATAAAAAAAAAATGCTGACGTGACAAACATTTGAGTAACAGCTCTGAAAATCCTCGTGCAGCCTGATCAGGAAACAGGACAAACACAAAGTGGTTCCCAGCTGAGAAGCTGAATAAGGAGGTTTTTTTTCCCTTTACATATTTATTCATCTGTAGTCAGAGCAGCAGCATTAACTGCGACGTGTTGACAGGCACTTCATTAGCTTCACTTTGAAGTGAAAGCTCATCAGAAGATGGAGATTTAAGAGGCTGGATCTGAATCCTGGAGCTATTGAGTGTTGTGGTTGCTGTTTGGTAGTTCAAAAGGAAAACAGTGCCTGACTCTGAATTATACACCTATTTGAGCAGTTGCAGCTTCAATTCTCTGGCTCAGCAAAGGGACAGTGCATTAAGCCTGCCAGAAAGATAAAAATCACTGCAGGAAAAAATAGACACAATCTTCAGATCAACTTAGTTTGAGGCTAACCTATAGTCTAAGGACTTTTTTTTTATACCTCTATCCTCATTTTTTTTAGCTTCAAGCTGACTGGGTCACAGGGTCTTTCATCAAAGAAATAGAATATTCCTCTCTGTGAGGAAAACAGTAAAGCACCATCAGCCTTTTCCAGGTAAGGATTCAGTGCTCAACATGGCAGATTCTTTTTAAATTCCTTAGGAGAAATTCACTCCAGAAAACTTGCAAAAACATTTGGTCTCAGCATGACTCCAAACCCATTCGACTAAAAGCAGAAAGAGGCTCATTTTACACAGCTCAGATTTCACATCCTATTGTGATCCAGTGCGTTTGTGTAAATGCTTTAACCAGCCCTTAATATATTTGGCAATGACAAAAATCTGCTTGGAGTTTAGAGAATTGTCCACAAACCTTTCTAGTCACTGACAGAACCAGCTGCTGCTGATGTAGAAGAAATTAAATGCAGCATTATCAAGTCACAGGAGGGAAAGACAATATTGGGACAAAGTTTATACCCTTGAGATGTTTGAGATCCAAGGACTTCATATGGAGATAGTAAAAGGTGCTCAGAGTAGGTACCAAGACCTAGTTTAGCTCTGATATGAGATCTAGGGTTGGACTTGATCATCTTTGAGGTCTTTTCCAACCTGGTTGATTCTATGATTCTATGATTTGTGGAGCTGGTGCTCCCTGTGGGCAGAGCCTATGTTAAACAGAGCAGCAAAACATCTCTAACTATGTTAATTTGGGTTGATAGTTCAAAACAAGGTTTTCAAATCTTACCAAAACCTTATCAGATTAATTTTTTAAACCAGCACCACCAATTCTTCCCCCACAGGAGTCATTTTCACTGGTTTTTTTTTCTGCAAGAAATTGTTCCTTTCTTCCATGCTTTTTCTTTTTAAAAAGACCTTGTTACTTCCTTATGAAATGACTGACTTCAGAGCAGATTTATTTCTGTTTTACACTGACACAAGCCTGCCAAAAGGGCTCTTTTTCCTTATTCCATCCTGATGTTCAGCACACATCCTGCTTCCCAGCTCTGTTTTCAAATAAACCAGACTACCCAGAGGAGGAGGTTTCTGTAGCAACAACTATATAAAACCCTTCCCCTCTCCCTCTTCTTCACAACTTTCCTTTCATTCCAAGTACCTGATTCACTCAGTTCCCCAAGAAATTAAGTCCCAAATGTTTCAAGCTTCGATCATTTTCAAGCACATTTACTCTGTAAATATCTAAACACCTTCATTTTTCTCACAGAAATAACATAGCCAAATTGTCTCCTCCCAGCTCAGGAGGGAAAACACAGCTAAAGAAGCTACAGGGCTACTCAGGCAGCATCTGAGTGCTTGGAAGCAGTTAATTTCTGGGATTTGAACTTGAGCAGAAGCCCAGAAAAGCAGTTTTTCAACATACAGTGATTCAGTAAAGTTTAATACAGCCCTTCTTTTAATTGAAGTGAGGGAAGACTAAACCTTCAGCTTATAAACCATAAGGATCATGGAAAGAGGAACTGCGTTTTCAGAGTTCTAATTTTAGTATAAATCATTATTCAAGCAGAGGAATAATGTGACTTCACAGAATCAGTTAGGCTGGAAGGGAGCACAGTGGGTCCTGTGGTCCAACCTCTCAACCCAACCTCCCTCTTCCCAAGCCATCAAGCTCAGACTTAAAGACTGACCCACTCTGGTATGGAACATTTTTTGTTGAATAAGAACAGACCCACCAAATTCCAGGTTTTCAGACATTTAGAACTAAAGCAAACGGCTCCCAAAATTGAAATGAGTTTTTATACCCATCTCTCTCTATTAATAGTGTGATTTGGTAAAGAATGATGTGATCTCTGTGGGATTTTAAACCAGTGTGTTGAGTTGACAGAGAATAACATTCCTTCTTCTCCATACACATCAAGAGCACTACAGGCAGGTGTGTATTTGTACATGCACTTATCAGTCATTTGGCACGTGGGAGCTGCTCATCTCAGCAGGTTTGGCTGCTTTGCATGTACATGCACTTATCAGTCATTTGGCAAGTGGGAGCTGCTCATTTCAGCAGGTTTGGCTGCTTTGCTGTGACTCTACTTAGCAATCACTGCCCTTGCAGCATGAAGATGAAGCTGTGGGATGGATGGACCAGCTCCCAACGTACCTTTTTCCAGAAGAGCTTGCTCAGTGGCATAGGAGTGGTTGATGCTTTCTCCTTCATCACCTCTCTGGAGGTTTCACTGGCTGCTGCCTGCTGTGGGGCTGGAGGCTCAGGGGCTTTGGGGTTCTGCTTCACTGTCTGGGGCTCTTGAGAGGGAGGGACATTTTTATCTGATTTCACAGGGGTAACAGGCTGCTGCTCAGTCCTCTAGAGAGAAACACAGACACACAGACTGTTGTGGAGGACAAGATACTTGTAGCATCTTCAGGCATCACCTGGTGCAGGTGAGCACACATCACATAGGTGACAGCTCACAAACTGCATCCCTGCCCTTCAAACTAAGTGACAACTTGAGCAAAGGACACAGCAACCCACCCTTCATAACAGCTGAGTAACTGACAGAGACTGAAAACCACAGTGAGAACAATTCCCCCTTGCCTGAGTTACTCACAGGGAACTCCAACCATCCTACTCACTTTGGTGTTGGTTGTCTGTTGGGTTTCTTTTGCAGCCTGAAGGGAAACAAAACACAAAGACAAATCTGTCTGAGGCAACGTCAGCAGTTCCACAGGTCAGGAATTGTCTGTCACAATTGAGTTGAGTTTTAGGAGAGGTTTGTGGATGTCCTGGCTCCTGCAACCATGGGAACTGATCCCTGGCTGTGGCAAAGCTGCCCCAGGGACTGTCAGCTCCCAATCTTTCTACCTGGTGTTCACCTGCTTTGTGCTTGTAGCCCTCAGCTTGTTTAAAAATGTTTGTTTGTATCCCCATTCCCACATGCCATGTTTTCCCATTCTGTTCAGGTAAGGCATCAGACAGGGTTTGAAGATGCTAGCAGGGATTTCTCTGTGCCAGGTCTGTGTGTGCAATACTCAGTGCACACACACCAGAGCTGGGTGTTTGCCACAGGGGAGCTGCACACCAGGAAGTTTTGCTTTTTGGGATACAAAAACTACAGACAGATAACTGCCTGGAAGCCAAGGGCACAGAACAGCAGTAACTCAGGAGGAGCAGCTCTGCAAAGAGCAGCTCTGCAGGTGCTGGGGGTTGGTTTAGCCCATCCTCACTCACTTTTGTGCATTGGGTGGGATTTGCTCTTCTGTAAAAATATCATTCTCAGGAATGGGTCTCCCACTTTCATCAAAACACACAATGCCAGGAGAGATGCAATTTGTTAAACTCCTTCCTGGGCAGTGCTGCACACCAGTATCTCCTGACCTTCACACCCAGCAGAGCTTTACCTGAGCTGTAAAAAATACCCCAAAACCAGCAGCAAAAACTGAGCCAAACACCCTTTGTTTTGGCAGCCTGCCCCAGGCTTGGGGGATTCCTTGAAAGAATAGGTGAGAGCTCTTTTGCAGGAGCCAAGACCCTTTTTGTGGTTAGCTCAAATGAACAGGATCCAGAGCAAGTGGTAAGAGCAAGCCATGGACTGGCACCAGCACTGGTGCTGAAAGGGAGGAATTAACCCTTCTCTTCCAGGTGAAGATTCCATAAATCAGCACAGTTACACTGCAAAACTGGCATGGAATGCAGGGCAGAGGTTCATGGATGGGAGTGAAGGAGCAGACAGGGAGCCAAGGGTTGAATGCCACCCAAACTCATGGCTGAGGTCAGATGGCCAAGTCAAGCTGGATTATGGCTTTGGGGTAGGATGCACATTGCAGTTTGAAGACAACATTCATAAGTTGCTTTACAGTTAGTAATCAGGTAACACAGGAGACCTAAAAACAATGTTTCTGCTAACCCAATAGTCAACCTAATCTGAACTAAGGTGCAGAGAAGTGTATTTTGCAGAGAAAGAACTTTCAGAGGAGGTGGTGAAATGATTAACATCATAGATTACAAATACATAGATTAAAATGATAATTTCCAATAAAGGAGTTGGTTGCCTGTTGATCTAGTTCACACATCATGGTAAGCATTGCAAAGGAAAAGAGAAAACCATGTTTTTTTTTAATACTAAAGTGCTAATTTCAGGGCCTACCTGAAACCTCACTGCTCTGGTTTGAATTGCCACTTTCAATCAGCTTTACAAGCAAACTGGTGGCACCAGTTTCATCCATCCCCTTTACTCTTAATATGCCATAAATGCTGTCTCAGTTATTGCTTCTGTATTTTCTGTGTGGGGGAAAAAACCCTCTTAAAATAAACTTGGAAACAAGAAAAAGCTATTTTCAAAGTAATGACATTTCATAAGACAGATTTTATTGGGGTAAAAATGTAATGTTATTGCATTCTTTCAAGATAATTGCTTTAATTCAGGACCAAAAGTCTTTAAAGTTCCATTAAATATTCCAGTGAAAGCAAATCATCTCTCCCTACAACTCACTGCAAGATTAATTGTTGCACAAGAGCCTTAAAAAACACTAGCCAGGTATGGCTTTTACCAGGAAACTCTAACTCATTATCAACAAGTAACTCATGTTTTAATGGCATTAAATATCAAAATATCATTATTATAATGATATAATAAAATATTAGGCATCAACGTAGTATATACAAGATGAGATCTTAAAGCTGTTGGCAAGAATTAAAGGCTTAAAACCATTGAGAATATTATTATTATTCCTTCAGCAATATGCAGATGACATTTTTCATCTCAAAAATGAGGCAGTGGAAAGAACATTTTTGTTTGGAAAATGCATTAGAGAACTCCCTTTGACTTGTGCCCTTAACTATAAAGCCCCTAACTCACCAAGCAACTCCACGTGGGTGTTTGGAGGGAGCACTGAATATTAAACACTTGCCTCCCCCAGTGAAAGGGTCTCTGCTGCTGCATTCCTTGGGCTAAAAGCTATGATTCTTTGCTTCCCTGCCACAGCAGCATGGCAGAGAGAGCAGAAACACAAAATACAGAGCTTGAGACCAAAGGTTTTCAGCAAGTTTTGCTTAAGAGAAAAGCTAATACCCTCTGAAACAACCATTTGCATGAAAATCAGGCATTTTGAACACTGCAAAACCAGATTTTTATCCTCCAAACTAAGCTTGTGCTTCAGCCAATGATTACTTTTCATGCTTTCAGTGAGAAATAGCTATTCCTGCAGGAAAAACCATGTTCCAACCTTCTCTGTGCCTTATCAGACACCCCAACTGACCAGTTGTAGCCACATGATGGTGGATGTTAATCATCATTAGGCCTAAAGTGGAGCTGGACTGAGCTCTCCAATCTGTCCTACAGCTGCAGACTCTGCTCACATCTCCACAACTCATTGTTTCTCAGCCCCCTTGATTTGATTGCTGGTTTTAGTGGCCAGGGAGGTTTAGTCAGGGTTAGGAGGTGACTGGGAAGCACAGAACGGGGGAGGTGAGTGGGATTGTGCCAGAACCCTGAGCTCACAGATGGTCTCACAGGAGGATATTGCACATGGGGATGGTTCTCATCAGACCTGGCACAGTGATGCTCAGGCAGTGGCTCTCAGAGCACTGCACAGCTGGCCAGAGGCTGATTGCAGTTACCCATGGAACAGCTTTGCCCTGTGACAGGAACCATCTGTTACTGCTCAGGGTTCTGCCTTTGCTTGAGGTTCATACAGACCTTATGCCTAAAGAGTTTGCTAAAAGTGCTGTGTCCTAGCCTGGGACTGTCTGCCTTCTTTTTCTTGGTGCCTTTGGTTGGGGATTCTGGTGGTGTCTTCGGAGCAGGTTGTCCCCCATGGCCTTTCTCTGCCTTCCATCCCTTTTGTGCAACAGTTGAGAACTTATTGCCAAGGTATTTGGTTCATGAAAGACATTCAGACATTCACACATGTAGTATTGAAAGCAAACATTTCCCTTTTTGCCCTGCACAGTGGATCAGGTTTTCCTCTGAGTGATTCCTCAGTAATGCTTAGACTTTTCTTCATGTGAGTAGTAAAAGAAAAGCTAAGGCAACACAGTTAATTCCAAATTAAACCACAATTTTCCCCTAAAATCTCCATTAAATCAAAACCTAAATCCCACAGAGACTGAGATTTCTGTATTTTCAGTTCATTTGGATTTATGATTTTCAGATAGGCAAATATATAAATCTTGGACTATATTTTCAAACTCTTTATTGCAGTATAATAGGGACTTTCAAGTGTTTTGCATAATGCATTATTTAGGAAAGGGCACTATGAATATTCATGAGCTGCTACAGAAAGTATTTCTAGTTTGCACTGATGTTCATGAACTTAGTTAAAAATGAAAGTATCAGAAAATAGTCATCATCAACTGCTACTAAAAGTGTTGACTGAGTGTTGCTTCCTCCTCCTCCCAAACTAAATATCCTGAGCCAAAAGGGACCCACAAGGATCAAATTCTAACTCCTGTCCCTGCACAGGACATTTCCAACAATCACAACATGAGAATTTTGGGGCTGCCCCATGCATGGACAAGCACTGGGGTTGGCCACAACTTAGAGGGTGGTTGGAAAGCTCCAGAGTACAGAAAGTGACAGATGAGCAGGGGAAGTTGAGATCTTGGCCTCAAGGTTGTGTCCCTCAGGGCAGTCCCCAAGTGCTTTGTGCTATGAAGAGGCTGTGGCCAGTCCCATTTTAATTGTCCCTTTGCCCTTGCAGGATCCTGCATCATTCTCAGCATTCCCAACGCAGAGTGACACGGGAACAACTGCGGATCTGCCACAGAAGGCTCAGATCAGTGGTCTGGGGCAGATCTGCTCCTCATGTCCTGGTTTGTATGACTTGCAAAGGATCAGTTCCTCCAAGGAAATGACTTTTTACCTCACCATGGATGCAGTGACAGTCATTAAGGGTCTGCTCAGGCTGCTGAAGCACACAAGGCTTCAGCCAGCTGGTTAGAGCTGGAGGCATTGCTGAGGGCAACTTGGTGCTAGAAAACACAAAGGTTCTTCCCTCAGAGGTGTTTGGGCACTGAACAGCTCCCCAGGGCAATGGGCACTGCCCCAAGCCTGACAGAGCTCCAGGAGCCTTTGCACAACACCCTCAGGCAGCTGGTGGGTTGTTGTGGTATCCTGTGCAGGGCCTGGAGTTTGATGATTCTAGTGATCCCTTCCAACTCAGATGTGCCATGAGAAAGGCACAGCACTCCCCAAAAAGCCTCACAGCACTTGAAGAGGCTCTGACTGCACAGAGGGCAAAGCCTCACTCGACAGGACTTCACCATTAAGGCACAAGTCGTTTCCCAGGAAAAGTATAACCATTATTTCCTCTCAGCTCAAAATCTGCAGCTTTTCTAATGTGACAGCTGATAAATTAACCTCTTAAATATATTTTCCCCTTAATTAAGTGACAGTGTCATATCAGGAAGATAGTGAAGATAAAAGAATTCTTAGTAAAAGAGAACTCCCATTTCACCTCTGTGTAATGAGTTTGCATATCCTGCCAGTCACCTAGGTTTGTTTACCCTCCCAGGTGTGATAGCAAACCAAACCCAGACAGCATATTTGTTTCCAAATGAGAGCACACCAGCACCAGAAGTCACCTGCTCCAGGAGCACATGACAGGGTCAGGTATGCAAACAGCACTGAGCAACCACATTTTTCACTCCTTGTTCAAAGAGCTGCAAGTCTCACTGAACCAGTGCAGTTTGGGCACTGCCTTTTCTCAATGTCTTGGAAGACTTTATCCCTGGCTGGTGATTTGCAGAGCTGTTGGGCTATAATCAGGGAGTGATGTGTATCCCCCGTGGCCTCACCAAAGACTGACTTCATTTTAGTACCAGGCTATACATATATGTGTCCTGTGCAGGGCCAGGAGTTGGACTAGATGATCCTCAGGGGTCCCTTGCAATTCTGTGTGTTCTGTGATAGCAAAAATTGAATGGGACAAGAGGTTGAAAGATATGGGCATCAGCAGCTTTGTTTTCTCTTCTAGGGATTTTGGCCACTTAATATTTGCATGGAAAAAAATTCCTTGTTTAGGGTTTTATTCTGTGTGTCAATTGAATTTTGTCTCACTGCAAGAAAAACTTCTGTTCTATGAGCAAAAATGGAATTTTCTGAGGATTCCAGAGGATTTCACTGCAGGGAACTAAAAGTTTTAGATCAAGGACAAGTCAGAGCAACAACCAAAAGCATTGCCAAGTCATCATCAAGCCTGCAGAAAATGCAGCAGTTCAGACTTTGATTGTAACAGATGATATGAAGAGCTGCACTGTTTATTCCCATCTTCCTTTCAAATGTATTCACAGGGGAAAAGTATTTTCAATTACTTCAAACTTCAACAACAACTGGGGAAAAAGTAATACACAATGAAGAGGAAATCCCTGTGACAAAAACATCTAGTGAGCAGTGAATGAATGAGGAATCTGCCTACCTTGTCTTCAGAGTCACTTTTGGCTTCAGCTTTGCTTGAGGAAACCTGAAATATATTTGAGAAAAAACAGTCACACTCAACCCAATCTTTCAAGAGACCTAAAAGAGCCAAAAGCAG